TCGGAGCCCGGCGCGCCGAGCATTCGGACATGCCCCGCTACGAGCTGGCTTTGATTCTGAAAGCCATGCAGCGGCGAGAGACTGCTGCTGCTTTGAAACGTACAGTAGAAGCCTTGATGGATAAAGGAGCCATAATACGAAACTTGGAAAACTTGGGTGAGCGAGCACTTCCTTATAAGATGTCTGCCCACAGTCAGCAGCACTGGAGAGGCAGATATTTCTTGGTGGATTTTTATGCACCAACTACAACAGTGCAGAGCATAATGGAGCACTTGTCTCGGGACATTGATGTGATTAGACCAAATATTGTGAAACACCCTCTAACCCAGGAAGTAAAGGAGTGTGAAGGCATTATTCCAGTACCACTTGAAGAAAAATTATATGCCCCAAAGAAAAGGAAGTAGGAAGGACCACAGGTGTGTTAGCCTTTGGTTGACTCCTCTTACACCAAAGGAGCTTGGATGACTAGATACAAATGAGGCCTTTCTCAGAGTTTTCTAGTGGCTTTGCTTTTGCTGTTATTTTGGTAAGAAGTAGAAGAACTGCTGGCTGAGAACTCCTATTTGTGGTACTGCGCATGATTCCTGATTTTGTTCTCATTAGTGTAATTTCTTTGTCAGTGTAAACAGTAACATCATTCTGAAGAACATATGTAAAGCAGCCTTGGATGTAAGCTAATCATTCAGACTGTGTATAGCCATGCCAAAAGAAAAAATGAAGACTCCTGTATTATAGGGACAACTTTTGATCAGAGAAATAAACATAATTTTATAAACTCTAAAAAAAAAAAAAGAAAAAAAAGTATATACATACATATATATGTGTGTGTGTGTGTGTGTGTGTATCTGTATGTACAAATTAGGATAGATATACAGCTACTTTCTCAGTTCAATGAGAAGAAAGATTTGTACTAATAGTGTTTAAACAAGATAGCATGTCTTCATCTTGTACTATGAATAACTACTATGAAGACAACAATATGCAATGTATTATTATAACTGTCCTACTAACCTCTTTTGAAACTGTCTCATTGCTATTTCTTTCTCAATAAAATTAATTTTTAAAAAACATGCGAAATGTGATTGCTAAATAGATGATAAATGTAAGTTCAACCTGTGAACTTCAAAGATACAAAAATTTTTAAAAAGCATAGTTTTGTCCTACTGCTAGGACAGGTTGCCCAGTTGATTAGAGGGATAACACAAATGTCTTGGAGACTTATTTGCCCTAGGGCACAGGGTGTAATTTCTCTAATCAATTGCTGCTTTCATATATCTCTAAAGGTAATCTCCTTCACAACCTGAAAAGTGCTCTACTTCCAACTCATTTTTTGGTATACGCCCTCTTTCAACAAACAAAACCAATAGTTTATTAAAAAATTATGCTTCAATCTTTAAAACATTACAACCACAGGACCAATTGTAACTTGTGCTTACAAGTGTCCTATATGAGTAAGCTCCCTGGAAAGATGCAATTGCACACCATTTTAAGTGTGGATAGGCTGGTCAAATTTGGTCTTCCTTTCTCCCTCCAGACAGCATCCACCTGTCCTGAAGTGGAATCTACTCAATGCAATCTAATCAAGGGACACCAGAAGGGTATAATCAGAAAGCAGATGGAAATTAAAGCAGACACCCAATCCTTTTTGCATTTCGGACACAGAGTCTCAATGTCAAAGTCTCTTACTCCTATGGAATACATTCTTAATCACTGGAAGATGTTTGACTCCTACGTGTTGAAAAAGAAACGCCTGATATTTTTCTGCACATGTACATGGCCTACCTACCCCTACAGCCAAGATGGAATGCAAACAGATGTATTATGATGTTATTTTACAACTAGAATCATATTGTAAAAAAGAGAGGGGAAATGATCAGAATTGCCTCATGTTCAAACTTTCTTTTTTCTTTCTTTCTTTCTTTTTTTTTTTTGGGGGGGAACCGGGAACGGGGACTGAACTCAGGCCCTTGTGCTTGCCAGGCAAGCGCTTATTCTACTAAACTATCTCCCTGGCCCTGCCAAACTTTCTTTATATTAAGTAATTCTTACTTATACTCAAAGTACAATTATAATCCATATGAGACTACTCATGTTCACATCTCTTTCAATGAAAACATATTTCCATAGTTCCTGATTAAATAGGACATATTATACTTAAGAGACATATTTCATTATGCAGTCAGCCCTAGATATTAAGAACCAGATAGCTAACTTGATATTCTAGTAAAAAGTGCCTCTTTACCACAGTACTCTATAATCCAGACAGGGAGGAAGCCAAGGAGATCAAAGGGATCAAAAAGTAGCTGCCTTTGTTGCAGCCTTAAAAAATACAAAAACGTAAGTCTGATTTCAGGACTCCAAGAAGTTTGATGACTACAAACCTCACCTGCTATCACTGCCAAAAGCGAGGCCACCATAAAAGGGACTGCCTTTAAGAGAGCCCCACCCCTAACACCCGCACCCATGGTGTGCTGACTGGAAAGACAGTCACTGGAAGTAACTCCGCACTATGAGGTGGAGGCCCCAGAGCTCAGACTCTTCTTCCTAGCTGGTCTAGCAAGACTAAAGGTCCCTGAGGCACTCTGTCTTCTCTGTGGCTGGACTGTCATCTCCCTGGAGGAACTCTGAGTAACCATGATTAGAGGGAAAAAACAGCCTACTGCTGGACATTGGCACAGGTCTCTTTGTCCTTCTTTTCCATCCTGGCTTTCCTTACAGCCATCATACCTTAATTAAAAAAGTCACCAGATAAAAGGAAATTCACTTAAGCTGTAACTGGGACAGCTTTCTCTTCACCTGTATCTTTCAGTTAAGCCTAAAAACCCAGCTCCCACCCTGGAGAGAGATCTTTTATCCTATCTAAATACTATAATACATAAACACAGGTTGCCAACTAATCAAAATGATGCTTAGACTGGTTTTACAAATACAAAATATATTATGTGTACAGTAACTTGTAAGTTCTTCACTGGTCAAAATACTATGTTAACTGTTACTTGTCTCTCCTAAGTCATCAAAATTCTAGAGATAATTATAGCTAAAACTTGAGGGACTTAAAATATCAGACTCAGGGCCGGTGAGCTAGCTCATCAGACTAAGCTCCTGCTTAGGCAAGCATAGGGACTGGGGTTCAATCCCTGGTACCACATGCCATGCCGGCCCCACCCCCAGAGTGTGCTGAACTGGTGATGGAGTCCAGGCGTGGTGACGCATACCTGCAATCCCAGCTGCTGGGGAGGCTGCAAACAGGAGGATCACTACGAGACTGAACTGCGTAGTGAGACCCTGTACCAAAAAAATAAAAATTAAAGTATCAGACTATCAATAGAGGGACCTAACAGCCAACAGATTACAACTGCTATGCCAGCCCCTTAAGAACAGTTTTCAGACTTACTGGCAGCTTAATTTCACTCATACGACAAAAAAGTAAAAGTTCAATACTTATTAGTCTGAACTTACTAGTTCAATACTTATTAGTCTAACATATTCACAAACGGGGTTGAAGCTTTTCCTTACATAACAGAAAAAGTATAAAAGATGGTAAAAGTTTTAATCTCCGAAACCATCCTCAGATCTGGATTCCCTAAGGGCTTACAGTGATAACTGTTCTTCTTTTAAAGCAACAGTCCCATTGGGTGTCTCTTGGGCACTAACCATTCTCTATCACCTCCACTGCGCATGAATGTCACAATCAGCAGGAAAGACAGAAAAAGTGAATGAGACCCTAAAGAGTTATCTTCACAAAATGGCTGAGGAGACCCAAATACAGTGGCCTCACTATCTTTAGCTCCCATTAAACTAAGAAATACAGGGCCCACAAGATAGCTCAGTGGACTAAAACACCTGCTCAGACAAGCACAGACAAGTTTAGGTAAGCACTGGGACCAAGCACCATATACAGTGCCAGTCCTGCCCCCAGAGCCTGCCAGAGTCCAGAGCACAGTGAGCAGTGATGCACATGAGGCTGAAAGCAGGTTTGATCACCATCAGTCTGAACTGTGTAGTAAGACCCTTCAACAACCAAATATATGAGGGGAGGGGAGGGGAAGGGAGGGGACGGGGGGGCGGGGGGGGCAGGCCAGCCAGCCAAACATAGGGGTGCACACCTACCATCCCAGAACCGAGGAGACTGAGATGGGAGGATCGTTGTGAATTCAAGACCAGACTGGGCTACAAAGTGAGCTCAAGGCCATCCTGAACTGTACAGTGAGAGTCTGTCTCAAAAAGACAAAAAAATAAAATGCCCCTCCAATTCTAGGCCTCAGTCCATTTGAAATGCTTTATGAACACCATTTTCTCATTAACTATTTTCTCTTGGAATTTCACTAGCTAAATTCCAACAGACTCCAACAGTTAACAGCAGCTCAACCTAAAGAAAAAGAAAATCCCATATTCCACCCCAGAGACTTAATATTGGCAAACTTTCTTCCCTCATCATCCCCTTCTCTAGGACCAACTTCAGAAGGACCATATAACATGATCCTGTCAATTCCATCATCTGTCTAGGTAGTATGCTTGCATTCCTGTATTCACCACACCCAACCCAAATCCTGGGAACCAGAGACTATCACTGAGTGTGAGCAATCATAATTAAAATTATGTGAACCCACAGAAGACTTAAAGATTCTTGTTCAAGAAAAAACAAAGCCTTCAGATAAGCAATGTTAAATGTTACTTTCTCTTTTTTTCTTTTTTTTTTTTTTCCCCAGTACCGAAGATTGAACTCGGGAGCCTTGCACTTGCCTGGCAGGGGCTTATGCCACTGAACTATTGCCCCAACCCCTTAAATGTTACTCTTATCCCTTTTACTAATCATTTTACCACAGGGCACTAGAATATGCAGAACTGTTATAGCAAACATCTTACTGGATATGTGGCCTGCTCCCCTGTTCAGTACATCTGTACTTCCTTGGTGGATATCCCCACTCCAAGGAGAGGACTGGCATAAACTACAAGCCTATACTGATGAGTTACTAAAGAGTTCAACAATGGTTCATAGTTTAGCCCATCATTACAAAGTAGCTGAATGGCTTATGCTTAACAATCCTGGACATAATAGAATTTTTTCTAACAATGCCATTGAAGGCTGGTAGGATCCCTATTACCTAAAAGTAAAGGTCCTATCACAAGGGCCAGATATGAAAATGGCTATTTTCAGATATATGGGATGGCTGTCTATGGTTAATCCCCCTATAAGACACCTTAGTAGAAAAAGCCTTTAATTCTACTAAATACTTACAATGAACATCCCCTAGACAACATATACACGTAATAATTTTTTTTAGGCTGAAGATGGGTTTGCAACAAACTGGCTTTACTGGCTCAGAATTAGATGGAAAGCCCCCACTGGCACTCACTAGTCCTGTGGAACCAATCTGTGGCCCTAGCTATCCCCTGGATAGTTAGAAAGATGTGTTGCTGATGACGGAGACTACTACAAAGCAGCCCTGAGCAGGACTTAAATTAACCAATGGGCTTTTCACGTTTACTTGTGAGTCTATTCAAAAGCCTAGTCTCCTTGCCTAGAATCAGACAGCAGACTCATAGTAAGTGAACCTCTATGAGTTACTTAATCCCTATTGAGACTTGTAATGCCAGGGAAAGAAAGCTAGAAAGTCTCAAAGGAGAAGACAAGGTCAAAGCCAAGGACATCCAAATCCAACTTCAACTAGGCTCAGGCATCTCACTCCTAGAGATTAACTTAATACCTTACCTGGAGAAAGTCTGTAAGTGGTATTGCCCCCCTTCTTCTGATAGCTAAATAAATACAGACCACCCAGAGAAGGTCTTTTTTTTTTTTTAATTTTATTTTTTTTTATTAGAGAGAGAGAGAGAGAGAGAGAGAGAGAGAGAGAGAGAGAGAGAGAGAGGTGTGTGTGGCCAGCTCAGCCCACCAGGGGGCGGGGCTGGCTGGC